ATTTTTGAGAAAGGAATTTTGAAAAGGAAAAAAAAAAATCTTCCTTACAATGAGAATTAAAGTTTGCAACTTGTTCATCACTTTTTCTTTCACCTGTTGAATTGCATTCTAGGATGCAAGCCCAGGACCCCCTTTCTGCACAACCCCCCCCGGCCCCCATGGAGTCACAGCCACTGTCAGCCAGCCTGGGTGCAGGGCTGGAGGCTGCTGAGAGCTACAGCGCCTGCAAGGACCGCTGCAGATGCTGAGCATCACCCCGCCAGCTGTTCGTGCCTAATAGGGCTCTGCTCGCACCGAGCTCGTGCAGTTTCTGAATTTATCATTATTTATAAACCCCCTGCTCCTCTGTGTCCCTTTGGTGACACCCACAAGAAGGACCTACCGTCTGCTTCCAGCCCTCAGACAGCCTGCTCCCAGACTGCTTGTCCCAAAGCCCCAAGATTTCAGTTTATTGCAGCAATTAAGCACCAGCAGTCGCCCAGGTTTGGTGAAGGAAACCCCGGAGCTTACAAATCAAATGACACAAACCAGCAAGTCCAAGTCAAGACCTTTCTGGAGAGGAAAATACCCGTGATAAGGGAGAAAAGTCACATTGGCTGTGGAAGGAGGCAGATCCTGACCAAAACCAGAGACAGGGCGAGGGCGCAGGATGGTTTCTGCCTCTCTGAAGTCTGAAGATATATTAGATGCACTAACGAGGTTTTCAGATATTTTCTCTTATTTTAAAAGCTGTGCTCTTTCAGGTTTCAAGAGACTGGCTTTTTGGAGAAACTCACTTTTTTTCCTTCTTGGCGCTGACTCCAGATCTCATCTCTGAGCAGGGTCCCGGCTCTAACAATTTCCTCCGGGCTTTGCCCAGCAGCTGGGAACACTTAACAGCTCATCCGCCCCGCTCGGCTCACCTGCGGCAGCCAGCCCTGACAGGTCCATCTGCTTCCAGTCAGCCCTGCAAATCAAACGGGGCCTCGCCTCCAAAAACTCAGAAAAGAGTAATGGACTTGTGTGGTTACTTAGAGTTACTCTTGCAATTACTCAGATGATGCTCCGGGGATGCTCGCTGCCTTCTGCTCCGGCTGCCGGTCCAACGGAGCAAGCTGCTGCATCCCTTTGCTGTGGACCTGCAGCCTGAAACCGGCAGAAATATTTTTATTCTGGTTTAGGAGAAGATGCTCCCTGTCCTTG